ACCCTCACCACGCTTGCGGCTCTTGACCAAACACATTGCGAGCCCAACCTTCCACCGTCAGGGTTTGGTAGGCTCAAGCCCAGGATTATCAAGCGGGCCCCTGTCCCACCCAGGCCACCCAAGGCCCGACATGGCGACTTTGAGCCATCATCGGAAGTGTCAGGGAACCGCACTTGCCAGCGTGTCCGCCAATGTAGGCGTATTGCCTCCTTTCTTGGTCTGCTTGAGCGATGGCATGGCGTTGAAGATCGACCCATCCACATTTGCAAGCAACTCAAACATGAGTGGGCCGCTATTTCCACCGCAAGTGGGTACCCTGGCGGTTTCCAAAAGTGGTGCGCTAATCACCCTGACTTGTGCGCCTTCTTTTTCCGGAGGCCACCGTTGGGCTTTGTCAGAGTCTTGTCCCGTGTGGTGCGTGCCGATGCTGACAAAATTGCCCGAGACCAAGCTGCCCGGAAAGGTGCGCTGTTTCGATTCAAGGTTTCAATGGACCAGATTGAGTTCGGTGGGGGGTTGGCCCATTCTCTAATCAGAGACCCCCCCCCACCACGTGTCAACACTGTTTCCTTTGGTGTTGAGAGTGAGGGACAGCTGCTTCGATCACGTGATAAGCAGTGCCAGAAGATTCGCCTGCCTCCTAATCACGGCATCCTCCCAGGCATGACGTCCACTGCCGATGGTAAACCTGTCAAGGTGCTTTCTGTTGCAGGTGACATTGCCGCCATCAGGTGTGAGACCCCTTGTACACCTGTGACCACGATCTGCCAGACACAATGGGAGTTCTGCCCGTCACGCATGCATGCCTTGTTCTTTGAATTTTGGGCACCATTCTGGATGCGTGATCAAGACCAAGAGACCGCCTCGCTTGAGCCTTGGGATGACTTCCTCCACGTTGCCCAGCAAGTTGGAATAGTGCCCAAGCATGCAGTGCACAAACCGCAAACTCTCGATGAGTGGAAATTTGCCATTGCCAATGCTAAGACCGCCACTGCCCGTGGGGCCTGCGCCCTCACACAACCCGAGGTCGCTGCACTTAGTGATGAGCTTTTGGGGTTTGTTGTCAGCGCAGTTGCCCTGTGTGGCGCGCACGGCCTCCCGGCCTGGCTCATGCTATCACGCACGGTCCTTGTGCCAAAGACGGACGAGGCTTGTTCAATTGCCGAAATGCGCCCTATTACAGTGTGCAGCCTCATCTTCAGACTGTGGAGCAAAGTCCTCACCCGTAGGCTCCTCTTGGACATGACCTACAGCATACCTCACACAGTCTCTGGTGGACTCCCAGGGCGGTCATCGACCATGCTATGCCTTCAAAATGCCACCGCTGTTGAAAAGTCCATCCGCATTGGATCTGAAGCCGGTGGCTACATTCTCGACATTTGTAAGTGTTTCAATGCGTTGCCACGCCAACCTATGGCATACCTCCTCACCTGTGTCGGAATGTCGGCAATTGATGCCCAGTGCTGGAACCGATGCCTCATGTCGTTGACTCGCACCGTGAAACTCGGTAACTCTGACTCCTTGCCTTCAGCCACCACAACAGGGTTACCCGAAGGTGACCCCTTGGCAGTACCTGCTGCAGCAACGCTCGGCTGGATGTGGGTCAAGGTGATTGAGCAACTCGGAGCTTGTGCCAACACTTTTGCAGATAACTGGCAGTGGATGGGCACAGGTGCTGAACAGCATTTGCAGTGTTTGCGGACTACTGACAGGTTGCTCCAGTCCTTGAAGCTCACTAGTGACCCTTCCAAGTGTTGGGCATGGGGCTCAACCCCCGCAGCCCGCCGACTGTGGTCTCGCATTTCCTTGCTTTATGTTGGCAACCCACGTGCCATACGCGTTGCCAGTGAAGAGCGCGACCTCGGTGTCCAGATGCACTACACTAGGCAAACAACGCTTGGCGTTACCCTGAAACGCATTCAGAAGGCTGAGGCTAGGCTAGCCAGGCTTAGGTACGTGCCCCTTGACTTCAAAGGAAAAGCCCGCCTTGTAGTCACCAATATATTGCCAACGGCTTTCTTTGGAGCCGAGCTTGTGTACATTGGAGAGTCCCATTTCAAGCAACTCCGGACTGCCATTGCCGATGCACTCATTACTAGGACGCCATACACCAGCCCGTGGCTGATGACCAGCGCAACCGCCAGAACTAGCATGGACCCCTTGCGATTCGTCATCACCAACACGCTTCTGTTGTGGCGTAGGTTCATGTGGGGCGAAGGTATCGATCGGTCTGCCATACTCCGCCAGCTTCATGAGGCCAGTGCCAACCCTTTCTGTGCGAGCGGCCCATGTGCAGTATTCAAAACATACCTGGCTCAAACACAATGGGTAATCCACTGCCATGACGGTGACCTTTTGATTGAGGACACCAAAAGCTGCACCTTTTCCCTCCTCAATGTCTCTGAATCCTTCGTTCGTCAGCGGCTTGATGAGGCGTGGGATGATATTGTTGCTGAGAAAATCCGCAAGCGTAAGGAATTTGTCCATTGGCCCACCCCTTGCCTTGTTTTGAACTCTGAAGGGTTGGACGAGCTTTGCCAACGTGACCGCGCCATCATGACACACCGCCTCACCGCTGGTGTCATTCTGCAGCATCACCGCCGGAAATGGGCTAATGGAAGTCCCGACCCCTGCCCAATGTGTGGGGAGCCCGAAGACCGCGTCCACCTAACTCACAACTGTACCGGCACCAGTGACATCCGGGACGCAAATGCCGACCTCATACACCAAGTCTGTTCGTGGGCTCCATGGATGGTTGGCCTGCCTCTTGCATACAAGCACCCGGACCATGAAGCCCTGGTTCTTGCAAATTGCCAAGCCACCTTTCCCCCTCCATTCCCTGCCCAAATTGACTCCCATGGAGAGGTTAGGATCTTTTATACTGATGGCTCCAGCCTGAATCCGACTGCCCCTTTCGGGGCCATTGCCAGTTGGGCCATAGTTGAAGACCTTGCCAATCATGATAGTGATCGGATTAGCCACTGGCGCAGGTACACCGAGAACTGGGTCCTGCCTGACAGCTTTCACTGTGTGCAAACTTCAACCGTTACTGGACGGCAGACTGTGGCCAGAGCCGAGTTCTCTGCCCTCATTCAGGTTGTCCGATCCTGTGATGCCGCCATTATCTGCACAGACAGTAAGTACGCCATGGACCTGTTTAACCAGGTGGCCGGGTGCAGCCAAGCAAAAAAGTACATTAAGTGTGAAAATTTTGACCTGATCATCATGCTTTGTGACTTGTTCTCCTCAAAAAGGGCTGCCGACTTTGTCACTCTAAAGGTCAAGGCCCACCTTGAAGACGAACAGATCACAAGTCCGCTTCAGGGCTACGCAGTCTTGGGAAACCGCCATGCCGATTATGCTGCCAAGAAAGCAGCTTCGCCCGAAGCTAGTGCCTTTGCAGCTCGTGCATTTGAGGTGTGCGCTTTTTATAAGAAACAGACCAGGCTCAAAAAAGATTTCTTTGAACTTGCGGTTCAACTTGACAAAGTGCGCCTTGATGCCCTTGACAAGAAGCGCATTGCCGAAAAGCTTGAAAGCAAAAACCGTTGCACTGCCACAGCTCTGAAAGCATGGCAGCCTCAAGAGTGTGCGCCCCTACCACCGATTCAGCTGACTGATGATCAGCTAGCTTCCTTCCAGTCAGGCGCCTCACTTACAGTTGTTCTATGTGAATGGGCTGCAACATTGCAGTGGCCGAACATCAAGCACCCTGATGACCCAGGAATTGCCCTGGTCGAACTTGTGTACAACTTCTTGCTGGTCACACAGACCGCACTGCCCCGCATTGTAGCTAGATCTGCAAATCGGGTGACTTACGAGTATCCAACAGACCAAGGGCCCTTGGCCCTCCTTCCTGGTGCCTTGGAGGATGCATGCCGCCTATTTGACGCGCTTGATAAGCAACTTAAGAAATTCTATGGGAAGGACCTCTTCCCACTGCACCTTCGAGGCAAGATGCCTTTCCTTCGATACTTTGGTTGCAGTCAAAAACGCGTCGGCTACTATACCAGACCACTCATGCTTCGAAGCCTTGAAACAATCAGCGGAATCGCGGAAGGCCTTCAAAAAGGCACAATCAACTCGTTGCACGTTCCCAACATGCCACCGCTCATTCAGAAGAGACATCATCCAAATGATGACCTGTCGCCGGATGAGGTATATGCCACCTTCCGTAGGCACCAACAGCGTGCTTACGCCAGGTGAGGGCAAGTCTTGCCCAGGGGCGTGAATTCCGTCCCTTTTTCGTTCTGGGGGCCCCCGTCAATCGACAAGGGCGTTTCAGCGGACATGGATTGAAGACCGCAGGCCACTTTCCGCTGAGTTCCCTTTGAGTTGATGTTTAATGCTGGCCCCGGATGAATAAGCCAGTGGTAGTATAACAGGGATGGGGCCTTCCTTCCAAAAGAGGTCTGAATCCCCGCTAAAAGGGGGACACCCCCCCCAAAAAAGAAAGCTTAACCTGGGGTTTACATTACTTGCTCGTGCTCAATAGGGAATGACCCAGGGTGTTGGGAATGAATTTAGGAAGGAAACTATAGGGGATGTCTTATAGGGGTCATTCCCTCATTCCCTGCTGAGAACCAGGAAAGTTAAGAGGGAAATGGCTGTGGGTCAAAACCCTATACCCCTGGTGAACATCAGAATAGGTGGTACATGGGTGTTCCTCCGCCCCAAAAACGGAGGCATAGGTTATGACCTATGGCCATATGTCGGGAGCCCTGTCCTGATCCGTTTTTGTTTCTTTGGTGCATTCTGCTTGGATGTTAGGACTTGAACTTGTTGCCAACTAGTGGGTTTTCTGTATTAAGCCACTGAAAGTTAGTCACTTTCAGCAGAGGAGCAGAAAGCAACCAAGGATAGGAATACAGGGAAAACCATGATTTAACTTGGCGAATATCAGCAGTCCCCTTTGGTTTTTAGGGTTTTTAGGGTTTTGTGGCGGTTTTCATGTACGTAGCCCACTGAAGGTGTTTGTTTCTCTTTTTTCCCGACGACAGGTTCATTTGGTCGGAGGAGCAGCTGCAGAGGCCGCTCGCTTCCAAAACACCTTCCGTCCAAAAAACTGGGATTGGCGTGGGATTCAGCTGGCTCCCACCAATGAACGATGGGACTTGACGGGGATCCTTTAACTTGGTGCCCGTCGGGAAGGTTGGTATAAATTGCAAAAAGGCAGCCACTCACGTCCATTTGCTGGAATCGATTTCACTATTCTTGGTGGCGAAGCCAGCCATCCGGTCCCTTAGCTTTTTAGATCCTTTTAGTGTTTTGGTGGGAGTTTCCATTTAACCCACTAAAAGTTAAGCTTTTAGCGGGCTATCTGAGGGCAGCCCTGTTAAGAGGAACATGGTCTTCCAGAACCCCCCCTGTCAGGTTCCATGTTGTTGGGATTTGGATTTGAACCCATGAACCCCTCCTCAACCAGCAAACCACCGGGCTCCAAACCGCTAATTCGCGGACAGCTGAATATTGCGATTCGAAAGGAGCCGCATCCAACCACAACACCCTGCTTGTTCTTGTAGCACAGTCGATTTTGTGCGGATTTGCGGGAATTGCGGGAAATGATTTCCGACCTGGTTGCAATGAAGAAGTTGCGTGAAGTTGCTATGGTTTTTCCACTCCCACTTGTTCCCAACTGCTTGCTGGCATCAAGCAACCTGCCGGTTTGGGGTTCGAGGCCTTTCAACACATGGTCGGGCGTTCGGTGCACAATCTTAGTGGCAAGAAGCAGAGCACTGAGTGAAACTCAGATGGTTTGAGGTTCCATTGGGCTCAGAGGTCCTCGACCCGAGCCAGCAGCCAGCTTTAGCAGCCCATTTCTTGTATATCTACCCGCGTGTGAGGGCTTGGATCAACCCACTGAGCAGGCGAGATAAACGGTGACCCGACCGGTTGCTTGTTTGCAACCTGTTTGCGGGGTTGAACGTCCAAGTACGGTTTGTCTCGCAAGATGTCTGATATATTCCTTGTGTTCCCGTTGAACACCGCCCAAAGAAGGGGGTGGCCGAGATTTCACTACTCTTGGTAACTCCCAGCCATCCCCTTAGCTTTTTAGCCTTTTAGTGTTTAGTGGTAGTTTCCATTTAACCCACTTGGCGGGGGATCTGAGGGCAGCTCAGTACTGGACTTCTTTTTTTCAGGGGGCTTAAGCACATGGGAAGCTAAATCTTCCGGGGTCCCCACGAAAAGACACAGCCATAGCGCTTTGCTTTCGTTGAGTGGGAGATAATTCAGAACTACCTATGCCTGCGCATGAAGTAAACTTTAATTGCGGATGCACAAGGACAGCGTTGACAACTGGTGGCAAAGGCGCTCTATGTTGACTCCGGAAGAAAAAGAAAGCTGCTCTCGACGCAGAACGGTCTTGTAAGTTAAGGTGTTGGACAGCGAGTCTGCTAGGCAGCCTGTTCTTGGTTTACCAGCGCAGACGCGTCAAGCAAATGTTTCGAGTCGGAACAAGGAGTCGTGTGTACCTGTGGTTTATGCGATGGTTTGCCTTGGATCGTTTCAACTCTCCTTATCCTGCTTCCAGTGATTGCGGTGCTCCTCTTTTCATTTGTTGAAGTGGCCCCGCAGTTGTCGCGGGGAGTGTCTCCGACCCGTCCGACCTCTGCCACGAACGCCAAGGAAGACTCCGGTGGAAGAGGAGTCAGGACAGCCGTGAAGAGACGTACTGCTTTGCTTGAAGCCCCGGGCATTTGCCATGAATCAGGTTATTGATTTGCATTGATCATTTCTTCGGATGTCGGGTCGTGTTTATTTGCTCGGCCCTTTATTTGCAAACGGACCAGAGGGAGGCGGGCATGCACAAAACCCTCATTCGAAAAGAAGGGGTTCTAAACTGGTTTAATCAGGTTTGCTGCACTTGTCTAAATCATGTTGGCATACAAACTCAAAAGTCCATGGGTTTCGGGGGGCAACAAGGGAACTCTGTCCAGGCCAGAGAGATCACTTAAACCTTGTGATGGCCATAGGGTAGGCATCCTTAAGGGTGGGCCCCCTACACCCGAAACAGGCAAGCAATCATTTCTAGAGGTCCCCAAATGGGGGGGGGGTCTGTCTCAAAACAGGGATTCGGACCACCACAATGGTTGGCTTCCTTTTGGTGTCCATTTGCAGACGGAGAATCAGATACCGAGCCTCGACAAGCAGGCACCCCAATGTTGAATTTGAGAAACCTTCAATATGGATTTGTTGAATGTGGTTGGTTCGCTTTCAATAGCTGTTAAGCTTTTTAGTTTCCCTGATTTGGTCCAGATGTAGAGATTCCAAACTGGTCCTTTTAAAATGGCCACTCTCTAGGCTTCTTTTCCGCAACCAGCGGTCACCTTGTGCCTAAGCAGCAAAAATAAAGTCTCGTTTTTGCTGGGAAACCATAGGAGCCTGACAATCTTGATTGCTTCTTTGCCCATAGAAACTTCTTGAGTTTCCTATTGGTATTTTGTAATGGTATTTGATAGCAGGGAAGGGCGGGTCTTAAGTTGCAGTTCTGTTTCTTTCCTTCGCGGCGCGCGCGGTCCTTTGGCGTCTGGAGGAGCCACGGTGCAAGATGGAGGTGAGGGGAGAGAGTCGGGGTGCATAGTTGACCTGGCTTCACGTGTGGCCACTGTTTTTCTTCTTCAAATGGAGGAACCCCAGAATTTGTTGTTTCCGTTTGGCTTCCCTTTAACACCACCGAAAAGGCAGAGAGTCTGGGCGAAGAAGTGACCATATGTTTCCAGGCAACATTGAAACCACACTTTGGGGAGGATACACTCCAGTGCTTGCTAGAAACCCATAGCTTGTCAGCCGTCCTAAAACATGGTGTTAATGCCGCGGACTGCTCGTCATTACACTGAACACCATCATTGGCCATATCGCCCCTAAAAGTCAACAAGATCCAGACGCCATGCCAAAATCTGCGCGTATGGGATCTCGAAGAGCGAGAAGTCCAACATCATTTCCTGTGCCTTTCCCTTTTTCACCTGGATTTCAACAAACACCCAAAAGAAAACACCAGTTTCAGGCACCCCTATCTTGATACATGTGTCATTTTTGAGGGTACCCCCTTTTCGCGGTATAGGAGAACTTTTCTGCAATTTGGGGGGTGCAACCCTACACAAAACATTTAGAAGCCTCAAGAAACCGAAACGCCAAGCAGCATGTGTTTTTGACTGAGGAAGACCTGGAAGATTCCGATGCCCATTTGGTGGGTCCGCGAAAACAAAACACCTCGGACGGAGCTTTTCAGGCGAGTGCTATGAAATCCAGCCGAGTCCCAACAACTACTTTGTCAACAGTTGGGCCGGGGGGGGGGGGGTTGTGGAGCCCTTTTCGGATCTTTTCATCCCAGACCGTTTTTTCTTTGGGCCCAAACTGTAAGATGGAAGGTGTCCCTTTAAAACCCACACACACAACGTGTACCGACTCAAAAGGAAAAAGAGCCGCTGAGGTACGGCAACAATGATTGGCGTTTGCATCCCCTTTTTTTCAATTCTGCGCGGGGCTCTTCTTTAACTAGGTCCCCCAGTACACCAATAGTGCCCTTTTACCCTTTTTTAGGGGAGGCTTCCACTACTAAAATAGACTACAGAAAAAAAAAACAAAGAGAAAAAAGACATGGTATCCTTATTCCAACCTCGCAAAACTGGAGGACCTAGTTGAGCTTCGGCCTTCCACCACTTTTTGGGTCCTGAACGCCGATTGCGCTTGGGTACTCGGATTGGCTTCTGAAACCCCAGCTGGGTCTTGCTACTGGTCGCATCAAGTATTCAGGGCCAGTCTGGACCGTGGGTAGCCTTTCCCATGTCGGAAGTGTCATCTTACTACACGTTTTGGTTGTCCAAACAAATGTCCACAATGGCGACCTTCAGGTTTACATCTTGGTCTCCCTGTTACCTACTCCCTGGAAGCACTAGGTATAAGAACGCACCCAGACCCAGCCCCCATTATCTTGCCATCAAAGCCGCCACTTCAAGTGGTCACTCTTTTTTGGGAAACCCCAGTTTCTGACTTCATCCGCGTCTAAATGTTGACCCACCTATACTAGGTCCCCCAGTAGTGCCCTTTTTACATTTTTTGGGGGGAGGGTTCCCCTACTAAAATAGACCACCGAAAAAAAGGGTACCCTTCTTTTCTTCTCTTTACTGGACAAAATAAAATATTGACCCAGCCTATAATTCACCCCGTCGCGGCCAAAAGAACGGCAGTCGAGTCGACTTGAAACCATTCTGAGGATGACAGGGTGCTCACTCAGCGCTTTTCTGCGCAAAGCTCCAGGCAACCGATTTGGGCCATGGATTGTCAATTTTTTTGGTTGGGGGGGAAAGGAGAGCAAGATGAAAACCGAAGCCATTTTGAAAACGCAACTTTCAGGATCGCTGGGCAAGCGTGGTGTAGGTGCTTTCCTTGGTTTTTTTTTCTTCCCCAGTACCGTTTGCTGTGCCCACATCCTTCATTTTTGCTTCCTAACTCCCTGCTCCTCCGCATTTGTGCGATTTGTGCTGCACTTTCTGCACCGGGGAATCCATTTTGAGACAGAGTCATGATAGGAATGAGCAGCTTTATGACAAACAACCATGGAGTGCAAGCAGGACGCCAGAGTATGGCTTCTCAGGCAAATTAGAGCTTTGCCTTGGCCTTTGCCGGTTTGGACCAATGTGGGTGTGGCTCAAAAATCGGGGTCCAAGATGGAACCGAAAAAAGTAGACTGAAACCTGCACAAAAAACCCCAGCTGTTTAACTTTTTTTGACCCACGGCCCATGTGTGTGTCACCGAGTTCCATGTGAGTTCTTTGAGTCTTCGATCCCAGGCTTGAGAGCTGTCATAGCTCGGGGGGCGGGATCTGTTTGCCTTCAACAGGCCACTTGCCCTTCGCAAATGTGTCGGAGTGGGACACGTGGCAACCCTTTGGGTGCCGGGCGCTTCTCGGAGAAACACATAGAGGCAAGCCGAGTCAGAGTCCCAACAATTCTTGCAGCTCTTATTTTCTTTGTCTTTTAGTTTGTTTTTGTTGGGCCACGCACTGATTTAGTATTGGTGGAATACATTTTCTGTGCTGATTTGGACCGGTGCAGTACAGCTTCAATTTGGTGTGGTATTAGTTTAGCATTGGTTTAGGGTTGTTGTAGTATTTCTCACGGCATAGGGTGCCACTCTTGTTTCCTCCTTACCCGCTGTTTGTCATTGTTTTCTGTCAGATTGCCTTCGCTCACGCCCTGAAATGATATGGCCTGGTGGCCGTTTAGGGTGTCACATCGAGTTTGGCTGTGCTTTGCAGTCCTGACTTCATACCCATTGCGCTAGTCACTATCTAACATCATAATCTGCAATATGCTCCGTAGAACAAATTCCAGGCCACCTTGACCATCAATTGTGTGGCTGAGAAGAGAGGGCATTATGTTCACTTCCGACTTACATGTCTGTTGGGCCGGATTTATTGCATCAATATATAGTTAGCTGTTCGACCTTTTTTTGGTCTGCTTGCGGCCGAGTGTCCTTTCTTGCCAGCTATTCACGTGAGTGGCACTGCGCAACTGCCAGAATTGGAAGTTTACTGAGGGGACAACCTCACATTTCCCACCAAAACCAAGACAGCAGCAGAGTTTTACCATGTCCTCTACAACACACGGGAATTATTTCTTTGGCCTCACATGATGCGTCCTTCATAAAGTCTTGGTCGCACGACGGCGACAGTCTTGGGAGCATCTGTGCCGTAGTTGGCCACAGTGCAAGTAGCCACCTTTACCTGGAGTCTTTAAAAATACGTCCATGACGCCAGTATTTTAGGTAATGACCCCATTTTTTAAGGGTCATGGAGACTCCAGGTACTTTCAGTCGGTGGGGATAGACCTCGCCCTCGAAAACAATGGCTACTAAATGGGTAACTCGGAGTTCCAAGAATGTTGGTGGACACTCCCCATGTTTATCTTGCTGGTTCTCAGCAGGGAATGAGGGAAGGACCCTAAAAACCATCCATCTATGGGGACCCAAAACTGATCCACCAAACCAGTCTTTAATGGTCTGAATTTCCACTAAAACCGGGACCCCAAAAAAAACACTCAACCAGAGGTTTATTATTCCGGGGTTAGCATTTCTTGCTGGTGCTCGGTAGGGAATGACCGTTCCGGGTGTTGGGAATGGACCTAGGGCTCCCTTTAAGGAAACCATAGGATGGTTTATCTCGGGATCATTCCAACTCATTTTGGGCTGAGAACGAGCAAGACAATCAGACAATCAGTGCTGGCTGGGAGCATCTGTTGTTTTTTGCCGAGCTTTCCATGGAAAAACATGACGGTGGTCCCAGAAAGGGGGGAGGCAATTCCTTGGGAGTGTGCGTAGGTGTCCTCTTGATCGGTTATTCTGATTCGAAATGGATGGGTTCCACTGGTTTAGATTGGATAGATAAGTATTTCCATTTACAGGGTCATCATTTTCTCTAAAAGGGCACCTATGGTTATGTGTGTGTGTGTTGCGTTTTGTTATGTTTCCTTTTCAGGATGGCTTTTCAGGCAAAGGCGAAACCGATGCCCATGTGAAAGCTGACGCCCATGTTTGCATTGGGCTCCTCAAAGCGACACGCTTGTTTCAAGTCTCCGTTTTCATGCGTTGACCGCCCTTTTTTATTTGCAGCTGGGTATCCTTTTCAGGTTGGTTAAAGGGGAAACCAAAAGGAAACACACACCCAAGTCTCAAAAAAGGGGCCCGTTTAGGTGAGCCAACTGCTAGGCTACGCGCTGGTGGCGGCGGGGGACGAGGAGGCAGTGCTGGTGCAAAGGCAACTGCAGCCACTGCTGGGTCCGGTCCCCGGCGCAAATGGTTCTGTCTTTCTCTTTGTTAGGGGTCCCGTTTTGGCTGGCATAAAAAAGGGCAACCAACAGGAAAGCCACTTCTTTTTTTTGGCGAGGGGGGGGCCTAAAAGAGACACACCCAGATGGTATGGTTCTGGATTCCGGCATATATTTGTGTGGCGAGCTTGGCAGGAAATGAGCTTACCTTAAGGTTTTTTTTGGGCATTCCTCGAGGGCATTCCTTGAGGGCAGCAGTTGTTTTTTTGTAGGTCCCCCAGTAGTGCTCTTTTACCCTTTTTTGGGGAGGGTTCCCCGACTAAAGTAGACTACAGAGAAAAGTTGGTACCCTTATTCTAACCTCTCTACTGGAGGACCTAGTTTTGAAACCAGACCGGGACTCAGATGGGTAGCGGCCCCCAGACAGGATCGCTGGATTGCAAGTTCATTCCAAGCCTTTGGCATGTCCTTTTCTTCTGACTGAAGGGAACCGCCCGAAAGAACTCGAACTCGATTTCAAGCGCCCGAAAAGCCACCATATTTGTCCAATCGTTTCCCGAAAGGGAAGTCGGAAGCCACAATGGGCCTCCCACCGCGGATGCTTACCTGCAAGATTCCGGGGTTTGTCGTGCAACTTGAGCCACACGTCCCGCGTAACACGAACAAAACACCCGCAGTTTGGTTTCCCTGACGGAACCACAAGTGTACGCCTAGTTGAAATAGTCTTGGTATTGGGTCCTCCAGCTTCTCTTTTCCAGCCGACTTTCTAAATGCATGACCGGGTTTTCGGAGCAACCCTGATGCCGTAGACGTGCTATGAACCCCGATCGGTCTCCATGTTGACAGCCATCGGGGGGGGGGGGGGCCTGGTGGACAGGATGATTGGTCCACTCGTGGTGCTTTTGATCGAAAGCTTTGACACAACATGGCGAATGTTCCCCCACGACCAAAACCATGTTAGTGGAAAATGAGGTTCTAGCCCCACTGATACCCAGAGAACGCCCCTTTAAAGTGACAGAATAGTCATAAGGAACCATGTATGTGGGAAATTGGGCTCTAGCCCCGCTTTCTGTGATACCAAGAGACCTCCTTTCAAGTGAACCCTCCTTCAAAGTGACAAAGTAGTCATAAGGATTGTTCCCACTTTGTCACAGAAAGGGGGCCATTTTCCACTGAGCAATCGTTACCCCCCCACTAACTAACATGGAAGTGCACACACCCCCTTTCCAAGAGGAACGTAGTCTTCTACAGGGGTCTGTGCACCAAACCACGTTAGTCGGTGGGAGGGTAAGCCTTTAGCAGAGCACCCACTTTTACAACGCACTGAATCCTGAGAGCCTCCTCGTCCTCCCCTCTGCGATGGGACCGATGGGATGCCTTTTGGAAGATGGGATCGGGATGACCCATTGGCCGTTGTGGGTCATATGCTTGCTTTCATTTGGTACAACGCATGCATCGACATAGCTCAGTTGGCTACAGAGCCAGCAGTCAGTCGTAGGCATGCCGCTACAGGCTCTGAGCATCATGGGCCCCGAGAAACACCAGATCACCCACTCAGGAGATCAGTTTGATTGACACGAAGGGCACATTGGAAGCAGACATGCACCCCCACCCCCACCACAGAAAACAACATGGCAAAGCACGGTCACCCCCTTCCCCACCCCCCCGGCCAAAACACCACACACAGATGCAAACACATGATGTCAACATGGGTTTTCTATTTGGTTGCCCTGTTTCTGGAGAAGGTTCCTTGTAGATCTTTGCTTGGGGATCCTTGGGGTTCCGGAAGGAGAGTGGGGGATCAGCTTGTGCGGTTTGCAACTTGTGGCTTTCTTTTCTACCCCCCCCCCCCCCCCTGTTTCACCACTATCAAAGTCGCCCGAGTGGTAGGTTAAAGCGCCCCCCAGTTGATACTGACTACAAAGTTTGGCAAAAAACAAACGATCCCACAGCCGTGAAGGTCGCTTGGGGATATTTAAAGGTCGGTAGGAAACTAATCTTCAGGACCCTCCAGGGTTCCATCTCTTATCAACCCTGGGATTTTGGACCACCATGCCACCGAAATTGTTTTGAAGGAACATGAAGGAACCGTTCCCGCAGTTCAATTTAAGTTGTTTCCTACGAATTAGGATTCGGCAGCCCTCCATTTTGACAAACCCAAATTCCGGCTGGATCTCGGCAATATGGCTGTGGGTCAAAACCTATGGTACCATTTTGGGGTAGGTGCACCACCCATTTCAGCTTATTTTAGTGGGGATTGGGATGTTCACAGGGAGTACGGGATTTGACCCACGGCCATATTATGGTTTCTGGGGAAATTTGTTTACGAGGATTCGCGAGCAAGACAAGGTCAGGTATGATGAATGTCACGATCGAAGAACTGGCGAGGTGAAGTTATTTCCAATTTCTGAATCTCGCAATTTTCAACCACACATTTTCTAGGTAACCCTAAGTTGGTGTTTGCATTGGTGGTCTAACAGAGGATTTGAGCCCCTGGTTCTGAAACCCCCTCCTTGACCACCAAACCACCAAACTCCAAATCACCAGTGAATTAGCGGGAAGCTGAGCATTTTCGTGCTGATCCGCTAGGGAATGAGAATTGGAATGTCCGGACGAAAAACCCATCCATCCGATTTGGTGTCCTTTATGCGGGAATCCCCAAAACGGGTTCGTTCGAATCCAACACGCGGACTCGTTGTTGTTATTCCCTATCGCAGCAATCCGAGGTGTGGAGCCATCGGCCAGGGCCGGGCTTGCCGCAAGTTTTGCGAGTCGCAAGACCAAGCGCCTCATTTCCGGAGATCCGTTTCAGACTTTAGTCACTTGTTGGGTTTGGACCATTTTGGTAAATAGGAATTCTTGCTATACTTCTTGTTTTTGACCAATCCACTCGTTCGGAAGTGAGATGCTTTTTACTCAGATTCTTCTCCCATACTATGGAAGCTAGTTATCCCTTTGGCCTTGATTCAATTTACAGTCTTTAGCTTCTGAGAGAGCAGCATGTGTGTATTTGTGAGGCGAGAGGTAGCTAGGTCCCCCAGCTCGGTGCCCTTTCTCACCAACTTTTTTAGTTAAGATTTTCCCCTACCAAAATAGACAAAGCAGAACAAGCCCAAAAATCAAACCTCTCTACTGGAGGACCTAGGTAGTGAAGCGACACCATTGTTATGTTGGGACCCGAAGCCAATCCTCGAGACATCGTCTTAGGGATCGGCCGCTGAAGGCACCTACTGGGTGCCTTGGCTTTTGTTTTGTTTAGAATTTGGACCCCCAAAGGGCTTCTGTAAAAAAAAAGGGGCACTCCGAAGAAGAAAAAACAAAAAGCCACCAAAAAAGGGGGCACCCCCAAAAAAGAGACAATAGTGCTTTTAACAACCTACCAAAAAAGGGGTACCTCCAAAGGGGGGGTTTTGCAGGAAAGCCAGGCCATGCTGGCTCGGCTCCAACTTGGAGCCGGTTCTTTTGGGCTACAGCAGCTAGGTCCCCCAGTAGTGCCCTTTACCCTTTTTTTGGTAGCCAGGAGCTAAGGAGCTACCAGGAGTTCTGTAGCTAGGTCCCCCGGCTAGGTGCCCTTTCTCACCCTTTTTTGGTTGGGAGGGTTCCCCTAAGAAAAAAGTTGGTACCCTTATTCTGACCCTCGCAAAACTGGAGGACCTAGGGCAATCCAGAAATCTTCAGTTTTCTGGGCATTTTGACGGGGTGGGGAAGTGGCCGGTGATCAATTCATTGCCCCAATGCGAACCTTCGGCATACGTGGCCGGAGATTGTCCGCGGGGTTCCCTCGAAACCAAACCAGCCAAGAAAGATCCATCGGTAGATGTTCGCAGGGGCATTCCCCTTAGGTTTGGTTCTTTGCCCCAAATAAGCTTTGGGGTGAGTCGGAGCAGCTAGGGAGGGTTCCAGAGGGTTGTGGGGCTGTTGGGGATACCCCTCGGGCTTATTTTTGGGGGCGGTTGTGCCATCGAGCGTTCCTCTAGTTGGCGAGTCTTAAGAAGGAACCACCTCAACAGTCGTGAGTAGCCGGCACCCGCTTTCGGGAAGATCTCATGGTATCCTCACGGTATACTCACTCTCATGAAAGGTGGTCGCTCTTATTACTAGTTGATTTCTGTTAGACAAATCCATTTCGCGCCAGTTGGTGTTTCTTTTTTTGTCACCCACAAAATGTGGTCTCCCTTATTTTAGATATTACTGTTAGGCAAATCCATTTTTCGCCATGTTTTTTCCAATGGGGTTTCATCCATTGGTGTCGATGGCAGGCTGCCTGGCTCCGGGGATCCTTCTGCAACCCCTGGCGCCTCACCAACGCGCCCGGGCCCATGCGACTTACTCAGTTCGCGGGTGACCCAAAGGGATTTGTTTGTTTGGTAACCTTTTTGGGGCTGAAACCGGGGGTTTTTGGGCTGCATCCTCAAGTCCACTTGGACCCATTAATCTGGGTGAATTTCTAACGACCTCACACGACCGAATTCACCCCAAATGGTTTGTGTGGGGAATAGCCCCCAAACCACCGCAAGTTTCAGCCTGGTGAAATACTATAATTCACCCAGATGTGTGTTGTTCACAAAGCGACTGATGAGAACCGGACGTGCCATGGTGAACCACTTGTTACATCAGGTATCTTGGTATCTCAATGGATCGCAATTGAAGTCACGCTCCATGTTTGCAAATTGCCGTCTCGAAAAGGTTGACCCCTGAACCCGGATGTATATCCCTCCTAGGTATTGGAGGTGTGGGGGTGTGGGGGCTTGCTCCTGTGGAACGAAGAGGCTCACAGGCCAACGGCTCGGTTTTGGTCACTTCTGGGGAGGAATCCAATTAGCACAGTCAGCTGCAACTTTAAGCTTGGACGATCAGAAGAGAGACCGGAATCCATTTGCCTTGGTGGCTCCCAGCCGTCCCCTTAGCTTTCTAGATCCTTTTATTGTTTAGTTGTAGTTTCCATTTAACCCCTTTTAGCGGGGGATCTGAGGGCAGCCCAGTTACATCCATTCACTTAGCCACACAGCCGATTGTTCAGCTTGTTCCGGCCGGTGAGCTGAAAGAAGTGCCGAGCTCTTTTTTTTGCTGCGGGCGGGGGCCCGCGAGGGCATGCGCCATGACTCATTCCGCAAGCCGCAGAGTCCTGGCAGTGAAACCATGAGGGAAGGAACCTGAAGGAAGTTGAAACGGTTCGATGCTCGCCCAAGCTTGAAGAAACATTGTTGGGCTTGGTTGTCCTGGAGGCCGAGAACAAGTGGCCATGGACTCAGTTTCTTGTTTAAATTTGCGTTGTCTTTTTTTGTTTTCTTTCAAAAAGCACGCCTGGCATGCCTTTTTTTGCTGGGAGTTAGAACTCCTGCTCCCTAGTTCTTGCCAGGTACCGCATGGGGCTTGACCTGTGCCGTTAAGCGCCCTGAGACCTTTGCGGGTTGGAACCCTTCAGCGATAGCCGGCTAGGTGTGCGCTCTTTTACCCCTCTTTTGGTTGGGAGGGCTGCCCTACTAAAATAGACGTCCTGAAAAAGTTGGTAGCCTTATTCTAACCTCTCAAAAAACTGGAGGACCTAGTAGCTGTAATCATTAGGTTCTTGGTGTTGCGGTTGCTGCTGTCGTCGTCGCTGCCGTCGTCGTCGCTTGCTCTGTTCCCATGTCATGTCGGCAACCCAGGCTTGGAGTCAGACTAATTGCGCTGGACGCTGCTTCAAACATTGACCGTTGCAAACGGGAGGAATGGCTATGAAGTTTAACAGGGAACCCCCTCCAAAGTTGTTGGTACATGGATCCCCAAATTCTGATGTCCACCAAAGGGTCCCTTCTTGAAATTCATACCCGTATCTGCATGTGAGAGGGACCGGGGTTCCGTTTTTTGACTAATGAAGTTTAATAGGGAACCCCCTCCAAAGTGGTTGGTGGACATGGATCCCCGAATTCTGATGTCCACCAAAGGGTCCCTTCTTGAAATTCATACCCGTGTCTGCATGTGAGAGGGACCAGGGTTCCGTTTTTTTACTACCCCAAAGTCGACTTAATTTGAGGGGTGGTTGATTTCCCCAAAAGGGAAACCCCTGGGTTTCAGTCGACTTTGGAGTGCTCAAAAAACGGAACCCTGAGAGGGACGAGTACCGGAGAGCCGAGCGCCGGCCACTTGGAAGTCGCGAGGAAAGGCGGCGCTGCTTTGGCTCAGCACTCTCGCCTTGCCAAGCTTCCTGCCGGATCCATTTCACGCCATGTCCTACGCGAAGGTGGTGAACCCTTTTGGCGTGGCTCTGTTCCAGTGCCCCGACTGGCGACAACCAAGTTCTTCCCAAGTTCCCACATCGAAGCCGCCTAGCCAACAGGCAAAAAGGAGTGGTTTTGTTGAGGCCACCCTTTGGACGGGACATTTCGAGGCGAACCGCGATGTCTTGGGTGCCCACTATTGCCGTACCCAAATATGGCCAACGTTTCAGAATGATCCACTGGAAGTGGTTGTCTCCTGCTTGTTTTTTGCTTTCAATTGGGAGGTCTTTGAACCAGGCCATGTCTTTGGGGCCGGAGCCCTGCACCCTCCAAATTTACTTTTACACATTGCCTGCCTGTGGTCAACCCAGGTGAGTCACAATCAAACAAAAAAGAAGGGTAAGTCAAGGTTAGTACATGGTTGTTGTTGGGAAACATTTTACATTTTTGCTTATTGTGGTTTAGTGAAAAATCCCCACTGAACTGCTACAATTTAAATTTGTTGCTCCCCTTCCAACGTCAACCAGTCAAGGTTAGTAAGCTACAGTCCCACCCAGGTACCTGGCAAAGAAGGAGGTGGAGAATGTGCTGATCTCACCTATGTCAATCTCGGTCTGCTTGTCTATGGTGGCAGCTGGTGCGACTGAGGGCTCCGGCATCTTGTCTGCCAGGTGGCTCCCAGCCATCCAGTTCCTTAGCTTTTTAGACTTTTGGTGTTTAGTGGTAGTTTCCATTTAACCCACTAAAAGTTCTCAACTTTTTGCGGGGGATCTGAGGGCAGCCCAGTTTCTCTTCCGCTTTGATATTATTTGGATGTTCCACCCCTCATGTTTTCTTTGTTGCTGGCAGTTTGTGGCACTTGTGTGGCTTATGTGCTGAGAGGCGTGCGCCAACCAACAGTTCCAAACCGCCCGAATTTGCCCTGGGAAAAAGAAGAAACAACACAGTTTGCGCGATGTTTTTGTTCTGGGCCGCCAAGATCATATTGTTTGTGTGTTGCATGACTGTCTCTTTGTCTGCCTGTCTCTCTGTCTCTTTGTTTCTCCGCATGGATGACTGCCTGCCTGCCTGCCTGCCTGCCTGCCTGCCTGCCTGCCTGCCCTCCTGCCTGCCTGCCTGCCCTCCTGCCTGCCTGCCTGCTGTTACCTCTTTGTAGTTATTTAAAGTTTGTTTTCGTCATGCCTGATTTTCCATGTTTTGTTCATTCTGGTTTTGTGCGTGTATGTGTTGCTGTTTTTCATTGTGTCCATTCTTCTTTGTTACTGCTGGTGGCTGAGTTGGTTGGTTGGTTGCTTGCTTGCTTGGTTTCTGTTTGCATGCGTGATTGTTGGTTTGCCGCTCGCATGCTTGTTTGCCATCGCGCTTGCTTGCCTCGGTTTGTGTGTTGCTGTGCGTTAGTTGCATCTGGCTTCAGCTTTTACACAGGTGTTGCTGCCGTTGTGTTTCGCCATGTCTAGTGTCAGGATCTGGATTCCAAGTTGCAGTTCCTTTGTTTGCCATCAAGAAACTGGTTGGCTGTTTGTTTTGTGCTTGCTTTCGTGTTTGTGTCTGCTTTTTGTGTGTGTGTGTGTATGTTTGTTTTTTTTGTTTGCGTTTATGTGTGTCCTCGTTTCTTTGTTCACGGTCGTATGTTTCGTTGGCTTTTTGTTTTGTCGCTTACGTCCTGCTTCTGTAGTTGTTTGCTTGCTGGTTCTGATTGCCTGCTTGCTTCTTTGCCCGCATGGTGTGCTTGCTAGTCGGTTGGTGGGTTGGTGGGTTGGTGGGTTGGTGGGTTGGTGGGTTGGTGGCTGGTGGGTTGGTGGGTTGGTGGGTTGGTGGGTTGGTGGGTTGCGTGTTTGTGTGTGTGTGTGTGACTTTGCTTGCTGTCTTGTTTGCTTGCTTGCTCGCTTGCTTGCTTGCTTGGTTGGTTGGTTTGTTTGTTTGTTAATTCCCCACCCGACAGGAAGGAGTTGTTAGATTGTATGTTGGAATTCACGTTTGCGATGCTTCTGCACCACGCCCCCACCCAGTGGATCCCGCCGAGTATCCCGCCAGAGCGGCTTGCCAGTGGATCCCGCCGAGTATGCCGCCGAGTATCCCGCCAGAGCGGCTCGCCAGTGGATCCTGCCGAGTATCCCGCCAGAGCAGCTGGCCAGTGGATCCCGCCCAGTATCCCGCCAGAGCTGCTCGCCAGTGGATCCCGCCGAGTATCCCACCGAGCAGCCCGCCAGTGGATCCCGCCGAGCATCCCGCTGAGTATCCCAGAGTAGCTCGACAGTGGATCCCGCCGAGTATCCCGCCAGAGCCTGCCGAGCATCCCGATGAGTATCCCAGAGTAGCTCGCCAGTGGATCCCGCCAGTATCCCGCCAGAGCAGCTTGCCAGTCTGGTTTGGCTGAATGTCCCAGCCCGGCGCACAGTTGGGTTCACATTTCATGTTGGTGCCTTCGTGTTTTGAGTGTACCCTGAGGCTCGGAAAGGGTGATGCTTTTGTGTTGCTTTGGGTTGTGAATAAGCAACTTCGCTTAACCCCCGCCGGGTTTCTTTTTGGAAGGGGCTTGGCTTTTGTTAACGGAACCGATGTTTGAGTTCTCGAGATCGGCTCGCAGACAAGTCGAGTTGACACACAGACAGGTGGATAAGGCTCTGAATGCAAAGCTTGTTGAGCAGTCATAGGCCCCAAGCCACTCGAAAACCATGCTCGAGTTCACACAACCGTGTTCACGGTCGTAAGCTCGTGAGTGTGGAGGGTGGGGATTGCTCGAAGCGAAGTAATTTGTTTGGGTGTGTTTGTTGTTGTTGTTGGCTGGCTGGCTGGCTGGCTGGTTAGTTGGTTGGTTGGTCGGTTGGGTAGTTCGTTTGTTATTTGCTTGTTTGCTCGTTTGCTTGTTTGACTGATTGACTGATTGATTGATTTGATTGATTGATTTAATATGTTTTGATTTGACTGATTGCTTGAGTTGATTGATTGGTTGTTTGGTTGATTGATTGGTTGATTGATTGATTGACTCTTGATTGATTTGATTGATTGATTGATTGATTGATTGATTGATTGATTGATTGATTGATTGATTGATTGATTGATTGATTGATTGATTGATTGATTGATTGGTTGGTTGGTTGGTTGGTTGGTTGATTGATTTGATTGTTTGATTGATTGATTGATTGATTGGTTGGTTGATTGATTGATTGATTGATTGATTGATTGATTGATTGATTGATTGATTGATTGATTGGATTGATTGATTGATTGATTGATTGGTTGGTTGGTTGGTTGGTTGGTTGGTTGATTGATTGATTGATTGATTTTCTTGGTTGATTGATTGATTGATTGATTTAATTTGTTTTGATTTGATTTGATTAGTTGATTGATTGGTTGATTGGTTGGTTGATTGATGGATTGACTTATTGAGTTATGGATTTTATTGTTGTTTGTCGTTCTGTTTGTTCTGTTTGTTCTTTTTGTCTTTGTTTGTTTGCTTGCTTGCTCGCTTGCTTGTTCGCTCGCTCGCTCGCTTGCTTGTTTGCTTGCTTGTTTTTCCGTTTGATTGCTTGTTCGGCTGTTTGTTTTGTGTGTGTGTGTTTGTGTGCTTGCTGGTTGGTTTGTTGGTTAGTTTGTTTAGTTGCGTGTTTGCTTAGTTGCCTGTTTGCTCGTTCGTTTGTTTCTTTGTGGTTCTCAAAGGACGCCACAGCGGGGATGTTCTGATACCTCATGCCCCTGCGCTGTTGTCCACTCTGTCTTAAAGAAAAGCAAACAACACACGCAACCTCTGTCCCTTACAGAGGTTGGACACCCTTCAGGGTACATGGGACACCGGTCGATGCCCCGAACTCTCTGAGTTCCTGGGTTTCTCTTTCGCTTTTTGGGACCCGCTGGACGGCCAGCTTAAAAGAAAGCCAAACCACCGAACAACTAGGGGGAAGACACTTGGCTGGGAGTTTTTGGGATGGGGGGTTCTCCCTGAAAAGTGGTCGGACAGACTTCCCCGAGCGAAGTCTGATGTCCACCAAAGGGTCCCGAATGAAATTTCATGCCCACCTAGGTCCCCCATTAGTGCCCTTTCACCATGTCTTTTTTGGGGGAGGGTTCTCCTACTAAAATCGACGACAGAAAAAAGGGGCACCCCTATTCTAACCTCGCAAAACTGGAGGACCTAGCCCCTGAAAAGCGATTGGACAGAACTCCCCCTTCGAAGTCTGATGTCCACCAAAGGGTGCCGAATGAAATTTCATGCCCACCTAGGTCCCCCAGTAGTGCCCTTTCACCATGTCTTTTTTTTTGGAGAGGGTTCCCCTACTAAAATCGACGACAGAAAAAAGGGGTACCCTTATTCTAACCTCGCACAACTGGAGGACCTAGCCCCTGAAAAGCGGTTGGACAGAACTCCCCGTGCGAAGTCTGGTGTCCACCAAAGGGTCCCGAATGAAAATTCATGCCCACCTAGGTCCCCCAGTAGTGCCCTTTTACAATTTCTTTTTTGGGGGAGGGTTCTCCTACTAAAATCGACGACAGAAAAAAGGGGCACCCCTATTCTAACCTCGCAAAACTGGAGGACCTAGCCCCTGAAAAGCGATTGGACAGAACTCCCCCTTCGAAGTCTGATGTCCACCAAAGGGTGCCGAATGAAATTTCATGCCCACCTAGGTCCCCCAGTAGTGCTCTTTCACCATGTCTTTTTTTTTGGAGAGGGTTCCCCTACTAAAATCGACGACAGAAAAAAGGGGTACCCTTATTCTAACCTCGCACAACTGGAGGACCTAGCCCCTGAAAAGCGGAACTCCCCGTGCGAAGTCTGGTGTCCACCAAAGGGTCCCGAATGAAAATTCATGCCCACCTAGGTCCCCCAGTAGTGCCCTTTTACAATTTCTTTTTTGGGGGAGGGTTCCCTACTAAAATAGACGACAGAAAACAGGGGTACCCTTATTCTAACCTCGCAAAACTGGAGGACCTAGCCCCTGAAAAGCGGTTGGACAGAACTCCCCCTTCGAAGTCTGATTTCCACCAAAGGGTCACGAAGGAAAGTTCATGCTCGCCGGCAGGCACCCAGAAGGAGTTGATGGGCATGGGGGGCGGCTTGAAAGCGCTGCCGGAGGCATCCTCCATGCAGATGGCCAACAGCGCGTGGGTTCGTATGGCCATCAAGCCGGAGCTCCTTCGGATTTTTTGGGGGGCGTCTCATTTGGCTGTGCTTGTCAAAATCCTGCGGTGAAAATAAAAAACAGTACATGGGTGTTCATCCGCCCCAAAATGGAGGCATAGGTTATGACCCATGGCCATTTTGTCGAAATGTCGACCGCCATCCCCTCCGATTGGCTGGTTACAAAGGGACACGAAGGAAACCACCCAGTTTTGGGGTTCCCTTACTTTGAGAGACCAGTGCACTGGGGTGAAAACCCATTCCGGGGCCCATGAGTGCACGAGCTGGCTAGAACGAGTTGGCGCCCCATGGAGTGTGTTTAGGCTCGATTCCATCTCAAGGATATCACACGCGACATGGATCACCGAAGCCTTGTCGGGGATCCAAATTATTGTTTTGATGCCTAGTGAATTAGAGAGTGGTGCATGTTTAGCGTTCCTCTAGGGGTAGCTTCCCCATTCTTTCCTGGCATCCTTCTTTCTAAAACACCGCCCAACACCCTGGGGAAACAGCTGGTTTTTGAAAAGAACGATGGTAGAAACAAATGGGGAAGCAACTCCTAGAGTTCCGTTTGTTTCAGTCAGGAACCCCCATTACTCACTCCCTGGGTTCATGAACGTTATACTTTTTGGGAAGACCGTTGTGGTGCCGGGTTTGAAGTAGTTTCGAGCTCACCTTATGGGAATTCCTTTACATTGGGACCCTCCATTTCCCTTGAAAGCCGTCCGGTTCAACTTCGTTTTTGTTTGTTATTGGTTGGTTTAGTGTTAAGTTTCCGAATTTAACCCGCTAAAAGTCCTCAACTTTTAGCAGGGGTGTGAGGACAACCCAGCAGTAAATTCATAAGCTTTGGGATTTGGGGACATCCAATGACCCGTAACTTACGTCAGGTATTGCTCCTAAAGATTTGGTATTTGGGAATCGGAACGAGGTTTAAGGTTTGGGCGGCGGGGCTCCTTTTGGTTTCCCTTTAAACCCGCAAAATCTGGGGTAACCTCGCAAAAGACGAGTGTCCCATCAGCGTCACCCACAAAATGTGAGGTATCCTCGAGAAAACGACGAGGGTCCCATCCGCTTCAGGTTCCTCGAAAAAGAGCCGAGCGTCAGCTTCAGGTTTTTGGCGGACATTCAGAAGACCTTTCAGGCGGACGCATTTCCGCTGCCCTCCCCAGACCCGATGCGCATCAACAACTGGGTCAAGGAGAAGACTCAGGGCCTCATCCCGTCCCTCTTCGAGGCGGGAGAGGGGCGGAGGGGGGAGTCCAGGGGGGGGGGGGGAAAAAGGGGGGGAGTTCGAGCCCTAAAGATCTTTTGCCGTTCGTGGCAACCCAGTTTGTTTTGGAGAGTTGAGTCTTGGGAGGTTGGGTTTCTACAAAGCAGGTCTTTCAATGATACTAGCGTGTCAACTTGGTTCTGCGTCATTTGGAGGTCCTTTTTTTAGGGGAAGGCCACCCCCTTTAAATATGGTTAATTGGGGGAGGCGGATTTTTCCTTAAGGGACTCCAGTGGCCAAAATGGCCCGAAGTACAAATCGAAGGCTTGCGAGTGAGAGTGCGCGAGATGCAGGGAATGAGAGTTATCTAGGTCCCAGTAGCGCCTTTTTACCATTTTTGTGGCGGAGGGTTCCCCAGCTGAAATAGACTACAGAAAACAGGGCACCCTTATTCTAACTTTGCAAAACTGGTGCACCTAGGTTGTGGAACTCTGTTGCCCAGTGGATTCCGCCCCTTCAACTTTTTTTTGTTGGAAGGGTTCCGACTGCTTCAACCACAGCGACACTTATCGCACCAGCAAGTTGTGGGCAGCTTGGGTTTGAATGCGAAAGGTGATACCAAAGAAACCCCCTTCTCACTCCCTGAGTTCCGTTTCGGACTTTATACTTTCTAAGACCGTTTTAGTGGTAAATGCAAAGTTGAGACTTTTTGTTGGCCAATCCACTCAGGAAGTGAGATTCGAAGAGATAGACCATGGAGAGCTTCTTTTGGTGAGTTCCCGCAACTCAGATGGTTTCACTTGGCCATGCTATTTGCTGCTTCGGTGTTGCTGCAGCAGCACCTTCTTACATGTGTGTTTTGCTTCGTTGTTTATTTCGGGGACCCTTTGGTGGGATTCATGTCCGCCAAGATGGTCCCGTATTAAGATGCACAGCCACGTGCGTCCATCATGAGCCAAAGTTTTGCAGGCTACATCATGTGTGCGGCGTATGCAGCGACAATCAATCGGAAGGCGTACAAGTCTGCTGCAACTGGTGCAGTCGCACCATGGAAGTGCGCCATGTTGTTTGCGGCAAATGTGGGATGTGATCAGCATGCTTGACCCATCAATCATGGCATTGTGATGGCCTCTTGCTCGAAACTAGTGGCCTGGTGTATGCCATGTTTGAAGTGGAAAGACACGCGCTCTTCTTCCTCCAAGTCAAAGCGACCCGTACTGAAGGATCCCTGTTTGTCGTGGACCTTGCATTTGTCCAAGTCAAAAGGCCGCCCCTTTCCCCGACTCCGGCAAACAGCACTCCTCAGGTGCGGTAAAAAAGATCCTATATTTTTTTACCCTGGCTGATTTTTTTCCCTCTGGTTGAAGCACGGTGCAGGATCAATCTTTGGACGGAATACATGCCTAACACGTGGGCACAGGCATCTCACCGTTGCTCTAATCTAACAGTGCGCATGTTTTCGCACTGTTGCCGCATGTTTCTAAGCAACCAACGTTTGCGTGTAAGCGAACCGCAAAGTTGGCGCACAAGGCTCGCAGGTGGCGCAACACGATTGTATGCCCAGCGTGCAGCACGCTGCGCGCGCATGCGTTTTCGCTGCAGCCGCCCGTGCGTCAAGCTTCTTGCCACGCAACGCGCGAGTCTTACCCAACGAATCCGTCAAGACAGTTAGAGAGTCCCACGGTAAAAATTAACTTTCACGGCAATTCCCATTTCGCGGCAATTAGTGACTTCTTAATTGACTTGCAAAATAAACTTTTCACGGCAACGGCAACGGCAACGGCAAAAAAACGCGGCAACACAAACGGCAACGGCAACGGCAACGGCAACAGCAATTGTTCAGTTCAAGCACGACTTGGCCTCATTTGCTTTTGCTGGCTTGCGTCCGTTTGGCGGCTCTGAAACTGCGCGCTTCCGGGGAGTTTTGCGTTTGCTCAAGTTGTTTCGACCCTGATTTTCCCTGCCCGCCATGGCCGCGCTTCTCAACAAGCGGGCGCGCACGACAGTGCAGGAGGTCAGCGTGGATGAGATCATGCAGTGCTTTCAAGCCTTCCTCGCGGCGAAGAAAGACCGCGACCTCACTGCTCTCTTAGAACGGGCGCTGCAAGTCAGCTGGAAGTCGGCGCCATCCACAGCCCTTCCCGCCTTTGTGGAAGGCCGCTTGTGCGACACATCTCAGCCGCTCTCGGCCTTGCATTTTGTTTTTGCGTCGTGCTTTCTTTTGCTCTCTACCTTTCCCAGCCGCAGGCTACGAGCTCTTCGCCAACGTCTTGCAGCGATGCGGGCCTGTGCTCAGCAACCAGAAGACCCTGCTGGCCTTGGTCTCCTTGCACGACGACAAGCCCTGCAACTTCACCCGCCAGCCCATGCGGGCATGGGCAGACCTGGTGAGCGCCAGCGTCCGCGCCTGCCTGGCCAAGCTCCGCGAGCGCGCCTACGACCCCACCTTGCAAGAAAGGACGCTGCGGAAGGCCACAGTGCAGCAGGCGTCTGCCTTGCAGGGCCTGGCCGCCATGGTTCGCCGCTGGGATGACAAAGGGCCGACCTCGTCGGCCTTGCCGCTCGCCCTGGCGGCGCAGGTGCTCGCGCCAGCGGCGGGCGCAGATGCCGCAACTGCCTTGGGCGACGACGGCTGGCCGGACTTCATGGCCATGCTTGGGCGGCCATCAGCTAAGCCGCGGAGCGCCAGCAAGGCTTTGCAGGCGCTCAGCATTTTCTTTTTGCTTTTCTTTGCGCATGACCTCGGCACGCATCTCTGCTCGCTCTGCGCAGGCCGCGCTGTCGGTGGAGCCTGTCACCTATGAGCAGAAGCTGCAAGGCAAGGACGCCGACGACCGCGAGCCCGCCAGCCCGGACAAGGACGCCCAGGCCAGGACACAGCCGCCGCCCCAGACATCGAGGCCGGCAAAGAAGCCAGCCGCGAAACAGCAGGCGGCCACTTCAAGTGCTCCTGGAAAGAAGCAGCTGAAGATGACGGGCAAGTGCATCGCCAGCCGGGCCTACGCCAAGGCTCTCAAGACTGGCGGCAAAGAGGCGGCACGGGCAGCGCACGCCCAAGCCCTGGAAGAGTGCAGGGCGAAGGGCATTCCTTTTGATTAGTTCAGGCGGCCCACGCAGCAGTGCTTGATCGAACGCGGGAAAACACGCATGTTCGACATTGCTGCGTGTCCCTTTTGCTTTTTGCTTTACTCGCTGCTTGAGCGCCGCAGCTGCCATGTCCTCAGACTCGCAAGCCACGTTGCCCCTGCCTGGCGCCAGCCGCGGTGACATGGATGTTGTCGACAGCCCAGAGCTTTCCGACAGCTCGGAGCTGACAGGCAGCCAGCCCGACGGCCGCTGCGCGCACTGCGAAGATTCAGAAGCTTTGCTCGCCTTTGGTGTGGAAGTCATGGGCCGCACCACAGACGAGAAGGTTTGCGCCAGTTGCGCGGCTCGCATCTTCTGCGGCCTGAACTACGGATGCCTTCTCGCAGGAGAGCGCGCGAGGCGTTTGCCCGCGCCTGTGGCGCCGGCCGGCCCTGAGCCAGAGGAAGAGCCGCGCCCCTTGAAGCGCCTGCGGGGTAGTTCGCAGCTGGATCACTTGTGTGAAGCGTGCAGCGAATTCCAGTGCCACGCCCGTCTGCACTTGCAGTCGCGGAGCCGCAGTCTTTGCCAGTTTTGCACGGCGATCTGCCTGCTGCAGATTCATACGAAGCAGGAGGCCTTTCCGGCTGATTGCTCGCAGCCTGTAGTGCTTCTGTGATGGTATTCTGGGCCTGCGTTGGTGAGAAAGCAACGCAGATTGCATGCGCTCGCTTTGGTTGTCAGCGTGTTGCTTTTGCAGATTGCTTTTGCGGATTGCTTTTGCAGATTGCTTTTGCAGATTGCTTTTTTCTTTGTGTCGCGTTGCGGCCACGCAGTTGCATTTGCATTTGCAGCCTTCGCTTTTGCGTTTGCCACGCTTGGTCGTTGCACAGTGTTGCACATGTACATGCATGAGCGCAGCCGCTTTACGGCTCGTAAGCTCCGCCGGCTTTAGGCGCGCTAGCCGTGACGCTCGCCATGGCCGCGTCCTACAGGGACCATGGCGCCTGGGTTGGCGGTCTCCCTTCGGAGATCTCCAGCTCCGAGGTCTGGTGGTGGCTGGGCGCGCGCCGCTGGCCGGAGGCAGCCGCTCCGCACCACTTCTCGGTGCGCAGGGCGACGACCGGCCCGGGCGCCTGCCTGGTGTTCTTCGACACCGCGCAGGCGCGAGACGCCGCCGTCCAGTGGCTGCGCGCGGCCGGCTATGACGCGCGCGTCATGTCGGGCCGCGCGCCGGTGGCAGCCCCCCCTCCTGGCGCTCCGCCGGCCGCCCCCGCCGAGCCCGGCGCACTGCCAGCCACGTGGCCTGCCGGGGACTGCCAGCGCTGCCGCTTGCTGGAGGCCGCGCTGCACCAGTCGCGGAAGCGGGTGCTGGATGTCTTCACCGACTTGGCGGAGTTCGGCGTGTTGCCCACCCCGGGCGGCGCCAGCGCAGGCCGCATGTGGGTCTGCGCTTGTCCAATTTGCTTTTGCGTTTGCACCGTCATGACCAACTTTTGCTTTTGCGTTTGCATCATCATTACCAACTTTTGCTTTTTGCGTTTGCAGCAGGCAGCAGTGCCAACTTTTGCTTTTGCGTTTGCAACATCATTACCAACATTTGCTTTTGCGTTTGCAGCAGCAGTACCAACTTTTGTTTTTGCTGCGTGCGTTCGCAGCTTCATTTCCCGGAAGGTGAGCTGGAGGCAGCGCGGCAGCGCCAGCGGCTCGCTCGGGCCGCAGCAGGAACCGCCGCCCCGTCAGCCTTGGCGCCAGCCACCCCGGCGCCAGCCAAGGCAGCCAAGGCGCTGGCTGCGGCGCCAGCCAAGGCAGCCGAGGCGCCAGCCAAGGCGCCCGGTTGCGGCACCAGCCAAGGCAGCCGAGGCGCCAAAAGCGCCTCAGCCCCAGCCGCCCAGCAGCCGAGGCAGCCAAGGCGCCAGCTGCGGCGCCAGCCGAGGCACCAGCCAAGGCGCCAGCCGAGGCACCAGCCAAGGCACCAGCCGAGGCACCAACAGCGCCAGCGCCGGCGCCAGCCCCAGCCCCAGCCCCAGCCCCAGCAGCCCCAGCAGCTTCGGCACCAGCTGCAGCACCAGCCCCGGCCCCGGCGCCAGCCTCGGCCACAGCGCCAGCCCCGGCCGCAGCCTCGGCGCCAGCCTCGCCGGCCAAGGCTTTTGCCGCAGAGCCGACCGCTCCGCGGCCTCTGCTGGGGCGCGCCCAAAGAGCGTGACGCACCCGGCCGCCCGCTGGCGCGAGGCAGACCGGGAGGCCGACAGAGCCGCCGCGGAGGTCCTGGCCCGCAACCCGCAAGGGTTCGCAGAGGCAGCCGTGGCAGCTGGGGCTGTCTTCCGCTCGCTGCAGCCCGGCCCTGGCCTGCCAGCGGCCGGGTCAGGACCGCCTTCTGCGCGCTTGCATTTGCTTTTGCGATGCAGCCCATTTGCTGGTGTGTGTGTGTGTGTATTTTCCGTTTTTGCGCAGGACCTGCGCGCCAGTGGTCCGAGGAGGAGTGGGCTGCCTGGCGCGCTCGCCACACCTGGGGAGGCCACGCGTGCGCCGCCTTCGCGCGCGCTGCGATCGCCCGCGCAGGCAGCGACCCGGAGATCTAGCAAGCCTCCGAGCCCGCCAGCGGCGTTTTGCTTTTGCTCAGCGGCACGTAGCTGGCAAGGGGCCAAGCCACAATTTGCTTTTGCGTTTGCAGCACGTGGCTGTGTCTGTTTGACCGAGGCGTGAAGGGCCGTCTACCTGCCCATCCGCCGGTGTCTCGGCTGCAGGTCTTTGCTTTTGCGTTTGCTCGTTTTTTGCTTTTGCGTTTGCAGTTGCGCGCAGCGTGCCCGCTCACATGTGCGAGGCGAGATCCACGCCGCTGAAGTTGCCATTTGTTTGCTTTTGGTTTTAACTCACTCTGTAGGTCCATTTGTCTCGGAAAGCCGTCAGCCCAAAAACCCGGCACACATCCAGCGCCAAGCGCTGTTTATCCTTTAAAGCGTCAGGCATGATATGCTCAACATTAACCCCCTAGCAATTAAAGACCTTGAGTCCGTAGAGGCCTTGACACTTGAGAGCAAACAAATTGTAGGGCCATCCCGTTTCTTTTGGAAGGCGTCAGCCCCAAACTCTTGCATCTGTTTTTTTTTCGGCAGGGGTCAGCCCCAAACTTTTGCGGCCAAACTCCTGTTGTTTTTGTTGGAAGGTGTCAGCCCCAATCTGCCAGATCGTTGGGTCCATGTTTTTGGGAGGTGTCAGCCCCAAACTCTTGCTGCCAGATCTCTGGGGCCAGTTTTTTTGGAGGCGTCAGCCCCAAACACTTGCTGCCAGATCTTTGGGTCCATTTTTTGGGGGAGGTGTCAGCCCCAAACTCTTGCTGCAGAATCTCTGGGGCCAGTTTGTTTTTGGAAGGTGTCAGCCTCAAACTCTTGCTGCCAGATCTCTGGGGCCAGCTTGTGCTTTGGAAGGTGTCAGCCCCAAACTCTTGCTGCCGGATCTCTGGGGTCAGCTTTTTTTGGAAGGTGTCAGTGCTAAACTCTTGCTGCCAGATCTCTGGGGCCAGCTTGTGCTTTGGAAGGTGTCAGCCCCAAACTCTTGCTGCCGGATCTCTGGGGTCAGCTTTTTTTTGGAAGGGCTCAGCCCCAAACTCTTGCTGCCAGATCTCTGGGGCCAGCTTGTGCGTTGGAAGGTGTCAGCCCGGGTCAGTTTTTTTTGGAAGGGTTCAGCCCCAAACTCTTGCTGCCAGATCTTTCGGTCCATGTTTTGGTGTCAGCGCCAAACTCTTGCAGCCCCAAGCTCCTGTTGCCAGATCTCTGGGGACAGCTTGTGCTTTGGAAGGTGTCAGCCCCAAACTCTTGCTGCCGCATCTCTGGGGTTGTTTTTTTTTTGGAAGGTGTCAGCCCCAAACTCTTGCTGCCAGATCGCTGCGGCTGTTGTTGTTTTAGCCTAAAAATGGGCCCCGAGGTCTGGCAGCAAGAGGTTTGGCGCTGACGCATTAACACTTTTTTTCGGAAATGCTTCAAATGTATTGCTAATGGACACATGTGTCCGCAGTAGTTTGGCAGTAGTTTGGAAGTAACTACTGCGAAAACTACTGCGCTGGAGCTAATGCCGCAGTAGTTTGGCAGTAGTTTGGAAGTAACTACTGTGAAACTACTGCGCTGGAGATAATTTCACAGTAGTTTGGTAGTAATTACTGCGAAACTACTGCACTTTGGCAAACAAAGTTTGGAGGAATTTAGCCGCACTTTGGCAGTACTGACTTCTAAACTACTGCGGCAATTCGGAAACCAGCAGTTGCAAATGCTGATGGGCCAGGAAAACAAAGAGGCCAGCAGCTGCCACGGAAGCTACTGATGACTCAAATTTGCTGCGTTTGGGGCTGACCCCTTCCAAAAAACACAGCTGACACCAATCATCCTGCAGCACTTGGGGCTGCACCTTCCAAAAAGGCAAGCTGGCCCCAGAGATCCTGCAGCAAGAGTTTGGGGCTGACACCTTCCAACGCACAAGCTGGCCCCAGAGACCCTGCAGCAAGAGTTTGGGGCTGACACCTTCCAAAAAACAAACTGGCCCCACAGAT